ATCAAATACTTATTTCACACAATAAAATGGAAATTAATGATTTAAAAATCATACATTGTATTTTTCTGGATTTTTGTTTTAGATTCCATCACTCACAGTTGAAGAGTACCTATGATAAAAATTACAGTCATCTACAAGCTTTGCAAGTGGGAAAACCTGAAAAATCAACAGTGTATCAAATACTTGTTCTCCCCACTGTATATGGATACAACGTTGAATAAAACAACATAGTTACTACTTTTTTATTAATCAGGTGTCAGATTTTACCTAGTATACCAACAATTTTGGTCATTTTTGTACTTTCAGCACTAATGTGAGGTTTCCTGGATAATGAATCATATTATAACACCTTTCATACAACTTTCAGTGGTTCAGGTCCAGCTGCAGGGTTTCAGTCAGGTTCTGGACCGGTTCAACACCTCGATTCTTTTCCTTTTGACCCGTTCTGTTGTAGGCCAGCTGCTGGGTTTGGATCATGGTTCTGTTGGACCCAGTTTGGTCCAAACTTCAGCTGTCAGATGGACTCACATCTAGAACCCTTTGGTTTACAGAGGTCATGGTTTACCACCATGTGGACTGCTGTGCATTCTGGGTWAACATCYTCCCTTTGGTCCTGGTTCTGGTCCACAAGTCTTGTGGTTCTGCCATGTTGGGTTTTTCGAGAGAACAGGCCTTGACCTTTGACCTGCTAACTGAAGCCTGTGGAGTCTGACACGGAGCTGGTCTCTCTGAACATTGCGCTGTCTGCCCTTCAGGGTGAATCTGCTGGTGGCTGTCCTGTAGATGGATGGACTCCGGTGACCTTTGACCTTCTCAGATTGACGCCTCTCTGAGGTCATTGCTGATTTCTTTCCACACACCTGATCCAGATCAGAGCTCTCCTGAACCTCTGAGATCCTCTGGACCCAGATCCTGGTTCAGTTTTTGTTTCAACATCAACAAATTGTGTTTTTGTTCACTTCAGGTCAGATTTGAATAATTTGAAAACTTGTAAAGATTATTTTTATAATCTGAAACATTAAACCTTCCAACTAAAAGAGGCTGAACTTTCTTTTAGTTTACATTCGGCCTTTCTCTTTTTCTTTACCAACAAAAGTCCCATTTTTATTCCTACGATGCAGAACTCCAACCTTGAGTTTCTGTAAAAGCAGCAGACTCGGTCTGAGGGAGAACCAGTCCCTCTCTGGATCAACCTGAACAGGTTCTAAACTGAACGAATTCTTTAGTTTTTCTGAGGTTTAGCTGTAAAACCATCAGTAATCCTGGCTGTTCTCAAATGTTGCTTTTGTTATTAGACACTAAACACTTGGTGTTTAATAACAAAAACAACATTTGAGAACTTATCAGATGTGTAGACACCATGAATTTCATTGGATTAGTAATCCCGTCTGTTCCTGCAGGAGTGGAACCAACACGTCAAAGATCTCCGACATGTTGAGAACAAACGACGTCTCCTGGACATGTGAGTGGTTCAGACAGCAAACTGTTAACAACACTTTAATAATAAAGCACTATTTATACTATATAAGTCAATAAATGTTCCACATTTGATTTATTGTATAGAAGTCTGGGGGAAAGCTTGTAAAACAATTACTAATCCTATATTTATTTTACAGAGGAGCTGTTAGAATTATCACCAGAAAACATTACTGTCACCCATCAAATATATTATTTTATCAGTAGAAATTATTTAAATTTTACGAGTTGGTTGATTATAATATTTTACAAGTTGTGAATAAAACACATAAAAATGTATTACCTTTGAACATTCAATCAAATTTTGTTGAGATGGAAAGTTGTTATAATCTTAAGGGACTAGAATTTTTTGTAAAATCTAAAATTTGAACACATTTAAAGGACAGATGTACTTCAGTTATTAAGATTATGGAATAATCTGGATAATTATTATAAAAATGCTGGCTCAATTAATTTGTTTAGGGAATGATAAAAGTTAAATTGTTAAAGAAATATGAAATAGTATAATTTGTATTTGTAAGAGATACTGTTTGAGAAGTTGAATTTTTTGTTTAGTTTTATTATTTGATCATTATTGTTTGAAATTAATATTTGTTGCAAATAGGGGCAGATATAAGTTTTTTCTTCTTTTGCTACCTTTCATTAGTGTGCATTGCCAATGCAATGCACAGTATTGTGATTCTTTTCCCATCCAAGTCATCTCCACTTTGGCACGCTTCTCCTCCTACATACTTTGTCCTAGAGCTGCCATTGTAATTTATATCTGTAAAGCTCATGTGCCAAATGATGGCTATGCCTTTTGGTGCCTGTACAACTTATAGTTTTTGAAATATTAATGTTTAATAATTTACAATGGGAGTCAATGGAGCCTTGTATTGGTCCAAATACTGCCCCCTGCTGTATCTACTCAGTACTGAACCATAGTTTAACAATATTTAATTTCAATAGTTCAGTGGTTACAATACTAATATGATTGTATTTTGATGTTTTACTATAATGTCCTAATATTGCTCTATTGCTGTAATATATTGCAGTTTAGTGTCAACAATTGCATTGGCAATGTGGCCTCTTTCTGCACACATACAAACCAACCCCTGGCAGTACACTCTGCCATAGCTCCACTGGTCTCTTGGTTAACTCTACGGGCTTTTATGTGGGAGATCAGGGTTGAAAACCCAGCTACAGCAACTTTAACAAAAAATCTCTACAAACTTCATATTGTCACACAATTACCTTAATTACAAACACCTGCTGACTTGACAGGCACAASCTGGTATAGAAAACACRTTTGAACTTGGTCACAGTTCATTCTGCAAGTCCACTGCTGCAGGCAAAGCCATGCTACATGGCAGTCTACACTTGTTTTTACATTGTAAAAACCCATGTCTAGTTTTATTTCATTTGTGTTTTGTTGTATGTAAATGTTTTGTTTTTGTTTTTATGAAATGAATAAAGTTAATAATAATAATAAAATCAAATCAACTTTATAAAGTGCTTTAAAACATTGGCCGCTGACACAAAGTTCTGTACACGAGGGGCCAAAAACAATAAAATAAATCCACACTAAAAACAAGCAAAAAAAACAAAAAACAAAAACAAAGCTAAAACAAACCAAATTGCGTTAAAAGCCAGTGAATAAAAATAAGTTTTAAGATTAGTTTTAAAAACAGGCTGGAAAAGACATGAAAACAGAATATTTGAATGTCTCTGATGGGAGAAAGAATAAAAACTAATAAAACCTGAAGGTGTTGCAGCCTGAGAGGACAGGATTCAACAAAACATGTCCTCAGTGGTCATAATGTTTTGGCTGATCCGTGTGGATGTGTCTCTAAAGGAAGTTTCATGTCCTGTTTCAGGTATCCAGACTGGAAACCTGGGATGGCTTCGGGGAGGAGGTAAGACCCGGTGCTGTTAAAGGTTTCTGAGAGGCCTGGTGGTCCCAGAGTCCTGACTCTACAGGTCCTGAGCCCAGGTTGTCAGGAAGGACCTGAAACGGTGCCTAAATCTGTCTGGATGTTGTTTTTCAGCGGGGGGCACAGGGACACCCCCAACCTGTCCCCAGGCCTGCTGGGACCACCCCCCTTGTCTTCAGGTTTCTCAGGCGGGATGTCCTCCAGCTGGGGTGAGACACCGATGTCTTTCATGTCCCGAGACAGGACGGGACAGTCTCTGTTTATTACCACAACATAAATATTTATTTATTTATTTATTGTATTTGTAATGAATTTTATTCTGTTCATATTTTATTTTATACTTCATCCTAACTGGTTTTTATTGGTTTTTACTGTATTTTACTGTAGTTTTCTCAGTTTTGATCTTGAATGAAGCTGGATCAGGTTCTGGTCCAGTTTTTAACGTTCTGTCTTGTTTGTCAGGAGACGGCCGCGGTCTGTCTGGAAACAAACTGGTTCAGAACACGGTGAGTCCAGACTCTGCTGCCATCATGTCTCTGATGGACATATCATGTCTGTGTGGATGTCTCATGTCTCTGATTGTCTCTGATGGACATATCATGTCTGTGTGGATGTCTCATGTCTCTGATTGTCTCTGATGGACATATCATGTCTGTGTGGATGTCTCATGTCTCTGATTGGACGTCTCTGCTGTCTCCTCAGAGGCGGAGCAAAGTGGTGGTGGTGAAGTACGACAGGAAGCCTTTGAGCAACAAGACTCTGTTCGCCCTCGCCGAGATGTTCGGCACCCTCAGAGAACACCTGATCCTTGACAAAAAGGTAGGCCGACTGGCTCCGCCCCCTCAGGAGAAACGTTGGGTTCAAAGCTTTGGACACAGATGTGGAACCGTACGGTGGTTCCTGCAGCAGAAAGTTCTGACTCGATTGATTCTTTAAGATGTTAGGATTGATTTTTTTTACGGTTACTTTAAAATCAAACCAAGCTGAAGACAGGATGTCCACGCTGTCCCCACAGCTGCTTTGTCTTTGTCTCAGCCTGTGTGTCTCCTTCAGGCCTTCCTGGAAATGGACACTCATGAAGAAGCTCTGGACATGGTGAAACACTACAAACAGAACCCGACCTCTCTGTACGGCAAACCCATCACCTTCTACCTGTCCCAGAGYCTGATGGTCATTGAGGTAACTGAGCTGCTGCTTTCACGTCTGCAGAAAAACAAACAAAAAAACTCAGACTCTGGTTCCGGTTCTCAGAAAGATCCGATGCGCAGGAGGACCATGGACCGSCCTGTTCGGGAGCTCAAAAGTCAAGGCAGCAAAGTGGTTTTCTTCTCCCGCCTGCCCAGRGAGGAGCACAAGAAGAGGGAGCTGCTGGTCGTCGCTGAGCGCTTCGGCGTCGTGGAGAAATACCTGTTTCTAAAAGAACAGGTAAAACCCGGACCTTCACAGACCGACCAGAACCGCAGAGGAGGAAGAAACCCAACGGGTTTGTTTTTGTCCAGGCCTTCGTCCAGCTGGGGACAGAGGAGGACGCAGACATGCTGGTCAAGTATTACAGCAGGAACCCGCTCATCTTGGACGGACGCAGCGTCAACCTCAACATCTGCGAAAAATACAAAACCCTCAAGTGAGTACACATCTGGCTCCGCCCAGTTATCATGACGATGGTGGTAAATATTAGTCCGCTAGTCTGTCTGCTAGTTAGTTTAGCATACGGCAGTGGAGGAAGTGAATGAAGCCAGTCCGTGTTGATRAGGCTTCTATTTTAAATTTGTCTGACAAATCAGCAGCTCTCATTTACAGTCGTCTCGTTCAGCTCGGTACTTTTCTCCTCTCGGGTTGTTTACAGCACGCAATTTTCTGTTCGCTTTTTAACTTAGCCTCCTTCACAGTGGAGCTGGCACACATATGTCATGGCCAACCGATCCAATCATTTTAAACTTAAGCAGAGGCCACGCCTCCAGCAAGAATCACTTCTCTATAGCCGGGAGTCCAGACCCTCGTACGAAGCAAAGTGAAGGACAAGAGTCTGGTTTTTATCAGGCTAGCAAAAAACATGGAAAAAAAATAATAAATGTGAAAAGCTACAGGTCGGAAATATGAAAAGCGAAAAGTCGGAAAAGCAACAAGTCAAAATTTGAAAATGTAAAAAGCTACAGGTCGGAAAAGCAAAAAGTTACCGTTTGGAAAAGCGAAAAGTCAGAAAAGCGAACAGCTACAGGTCGTAGATATGAAGAGCTAAAAGAGGCATTTAGACTACCTAAAAGCTAAAAGTAGCTAAACACTGGTGATGTGATGTAAAAATAAACAAGTGTAGAGAAAATAACGKAACTTTACTGGATAAATCAAAACAAATATTGTTTGTTCTCTCCTCAGTGTGAGCCACAGGTACGTCTCTCAGAACTGGAGGAGCAGCCRACCAGAACCCTCCCACTCCAGAACCTCCAAGTCTTCATCCAGCAGCCGGGACGAGAAGGAGGAGGAGAGAAGGAAGAAAAGGAAGAGGGACGTGGAGACTAAGGAGGAGAAAAAGGAGGAGAAAAAGAAAGTGGAGAAAAGGGAGGTGAAGAACCAGGAGGAGAGGAAGGTGATAAAAGAGGATATCAAGGAGAAGACTGAGGAGAAGCCTGCAGCGGAGGAGGAGGAAGAGGCCGAGGAGGCGTCTGAAGTGTTGCAGGGAGGAGAGGATGAAGAGGAAGATGCGGAGGAGGATAAAGAGGTGGAAGAGAAAGAAGAGGAAGAGAAGGAGGACAAAGATCAGGAGGAGCCAGAGAAAGCTGAGTCTGTGAATGAAAAAGAGGAGGAGCAAGAGGAGGTGAAGAAAAAAACTTGAGCTGACTGTTAAGACGAAATGAAACAATTTCTAAGAGGTGTTTGTGACACAGGTTCCTGTCGAGGATGATGTCACAGCTGGGGGCGGGGCCACACAGGAGGAGGGGCCAGAGSGACAAACTGAAGTGACAGAAACCGAAACTCCAACTGACGAAGACAAAGATGAAGAACCTGCCGGAGAGAGCTGTGAGGCGGAGCCAGATGAAGACCAACCTGAAGACCAACCTGAAGACCAGGTGAGACGGCTCAGAGTCACCTGTAGACCAGGTGAGATGACTCAATGTCACCTGTAGACCAGGTGAGATGACTCAATGTCACCTGTAGACCAGGTGAGACGGCTCAATGTCACCTGTAGACCAGGTGAGACGGCTCAATGTCACCTGTAGACCAGGTGAGACGGCTCAATGTCACCTGTAGACAAGGTGAGACAGGTCAGAGTCACCTGTAGACCATGTGTGACGGCTATGAGTCACCTGTAGACCAGGTGAGATGGCTCAATGTCACCTGTAGACCAGGAGAGAATGTCACCTGTAGACCAGGTGAGAATGTCACCTGTAGACCAGGTGAGAATGTCGCCTGTAGACCAGGTGAGACAGCGCAGTCACCTGTAGACCAGGTGAGATGGCTCAGTCACCTGTAGACCAGGTGAGATGGCTCAGAGTCACCTGTAGACCAGGTGAGATGGCTCAGAGTCCAGGTGAGACAGCTCAGAGTTCAGGTGAGACGGCTCAGAGTCACCTGTAGACCAGGTGAGATGGCTCAGAGTCACCTGTAGACCAGGTGAGACAGCTCAGAGTCCAGGTGAGACAGCTCAGAGTTCAGGTGAGACGGCTCAGAGTCACCTGTAGACCAGGTGAGACGGCTCAAGAGTTAGCCCCTCCTCCACAGTGACCTCAGCAGACCATACTATTTACAGAACACCTTGGCCACACCCCTGTGGGCAGTACCTCTTCAGCTCTGAAATAGCAGAAATGTAAAAATTATTCTTGCTGCTGAAGGGAGACACGTTAAAAGAGACACATTGATCAAATTAAACTAAATTAAAATTCTAAACAATCACAAGACTTTATCTAAAACTCAATCAGTCCCAAAATGTCCTTCAGATGGATCAGGACTTCCAGGAGAACCTGGAGGACTTTGTCACGCTGGACGAACTGGAAGAAGATGAAGGCGAAGGTGACAAAGACTCAGATTCTACAGGTTTGTGACGATGTGATGTTTTATCATCAAAAAGGTCTAAAAAC